AGGCACCAGCTGTAGATTCTCTCTGTCCCCCATTTCTGGGGCTGGGATGGGGAAAGCAGGATTTCAGAATAGCAGCATTTCTCCCCATCCAGTGCCCTGTTTAGTTGCAATTTTTTTTCCCTACATAGCGAAAATCAACACTGTCTTCTTCTCAAGCAGTGGCAGAAGGGTCAGGGCCAGCAAATCCATGTACAAAGCACTCAGTTTAATTCGTTCTCAAAGTTCACTGTGAATCAGATGCAGCTCCCAGCAAAACCAAGGGAGGCTTGACCGAGGCACAGTCAGATGTAACATCTGAAGAGGCTCCTTAGCCTTGCAAAATCCTGGGAGGCAATTTAAACATGAGAAATAGGCAAGAAGCCCATTCTCGGGGTCTGTAATTAATCACATACAGTTCAAACAGGGAGAGAGATGAGTTCCCAGCTTTCTTGGAGTCCACGCTGGATCAAACAGGGAGTGACCAAAATCTGAGGCTGTCAAAGAACAGCTTTAAAGAGGCAATGCCAGCTGAGCAACAACAGCTCAGCCCTGCACTCCTTCAACCTCCCAGGTAATTGGGCAGAAAGTCTAGAGGAAACATTCCCTCATCAGCTGGTGAGAACAGACACAGTTATTTGTACGTTTGGGATGCTGCTCTTCTTCCTGGATTTGCTTAGGTCTATGGTAATGCTTGTATCTTCTTCAGTGGATAAGCCGAGCAGTATGTGGGACAGAAGAAAGTCCCAGTTAGTATGAGAACCCATCCCTGGCACCAGCTGCTAGCAGGTGCCTTGAGGTAGAATGTAAGGATGGTCCATGCCTCTCTGTGCCCATGCAGTTTCCAAATGGAGCAGTCACCTACTCTCCTTCACCTTCACATCTACCCCAGAAGTGTGCTCAGGTGTGTAGAGCCCTGGTGGCCTGTGGTGCAAAAGGGCAAGCCAGCTGTCTTGTAGGCTTTTTCAGGGATTGGAGAAAAAAATTAAATAAATGAATGAAAAGAGCTGCTAATCCCACCCCTGGACTGTCTGAAGAGCCTGCATGGTAAGGAAGGGCAGAGGAAGTGTCAAAATTAAGAGGCCAAATCTGCTGTAAGAAATTGAGTATAATTGTTAAATGAAAAGACATCAACTTATCTGGAGTCTTATTTAAAAAAAAAAAAAAAAAAAAGAGGAGGAGGTTTGGGGCCAACCAACCTGATCTCACTTCTTCCAGGATGAACTGATTCACAGGCTCATCCTCTGTGCCACTGGTGGGCTACAATTGCCCTGATCACAAAAATATCCAGAGCTGGGGGTCCAGGCAACACCCCTTCTCGCGCTATTGCTGGGCAGCTCCCACACAGCACTTTCAATGCACAGCTGATATTCCCATGCTCTCCTCCAAGGCCTCGCTTGCTGGTTTCTTTCCTTCCAATCTCCTTTCTTCCTGCTCCTATTTCTCACCTTTTGGCTTCTGTCTCCTTCTGCTCATCTTTTGAAGGCTGCATCTTTAGCAAGAGGCCTGGGGAGAGAGCTGAGGCTGCAATCCCAGTACAAGTTGGGTAAATCCCACAGTGGCTCAGAAATCTGTTTTTCTTCGGCAGCAGAGCTGTTAAGAGGAGTTGGCACCAGAGACAGAAGCATTGTCTAGCGTTGCTATTCTTCTCTCTCCCCTTCAAGCCTTTAGCAACAACTGCAGTTTCCCACCTATTTCAACTAACTTCTCTTTTCCCCCTAAAGAAAGGATAGTCATTAGCATTTTTTTGCACTGTCAAATAGGGGTTTCCTTATAAAAATTCTTCACAGCTAAGGGGAAAGTGAAGAAAGGATATTGTTAACATGAAAGCCTCACTTAATACTTTACATTTCAAATACTGTAACTGCTTTTTTTCCCCTCCTTCTCCTTTTTCTGAATTTTCAGTATACAGCTTAAACATCATTAATAGTGTTGGTTGCTATGGTGTTGGGCAGGCAGAGGTCTCTGTACTTGAAACCTTGAACTATACTTAATGTTGTACAACAGCAGGGTCATGCCAACACCTTTGACTTTGACCCAATTTTTCCCAGTAAAATAAAAAGACCGTGTCTCCATCCCTTTTTGTTCTTGGGATATTTTTTTTCCTGCAATGAGAAAAGGGAGTGTGAGAGAGAGAAGGAGAGAGAGTGATATAAAAAAAGAAAAAGAGAAAGAAAAAAAAAATTAATAGACCCAGTGGAACCTTTCCAAAAACTTTAACTGTTACATCAGAAAATCATGAAGGATAATAAAAAAAGACAGTCCTCTGAAAAGTTTCACGTGAGATTGTTACTCATTTTCCCAAGCAGCTAAACATTTTAATAAACTAGGAAATGAGACTGTAAAACCACAACATCTGACAGCAAGCCCCAGGGGCAGGAACCATTCCTGAAACTAATTTTAACTCAGGTTTTAACGTTGATCAGATTTCATGTGGTGAATGTCCCCTTAAGCTGTCTCTCTGTTCTTAGAGAAAACCTGGTTTCTTTTGTCGACTCTGAGAAGCTATTTTCTTTCCAGCGCATTGTCGTCACAGGCGTAACAGGACTTTTCTGTCATTCGTTTCTCTACAGCCCAAGAGATGTCCTGCCCCAGACATCTTCTCATCTGCTCTCAGTTTCCTTATGAGACAAGACATTTTCCACAGAAGTGGCACTTAGCCGCTCCAGCAATGAAGCCCAGTCTTAAACAGGTCCCCATGCAGCCACTCAAGGACTCAACCTATTTAACATCTGATCTTCAGCCATGCAAAAGGCACCAGGCCAGTTGAGACCAGCCGAGGCCAGGATCCAAAGCGGGCTTCCAGTTTCTCTGCTTTGCTTTTCCCCAGGGAGGTGAAGCTGCTGTACCAGCTTCTTGTCCTTCTCCAGGCACAAGCTGCATTTTGCTTTGTCAGCAGGACATCTACATATAGGACTGGCTTTTTAACTCAAAGTCTCAATTGACAACAGCTGAAAGTTTGAATGGGGAAAAAGAAGATATCCAGGTAGTGTAGATTTCACTTGAAGACTCTCATTTCTTATCACAGAAGTATTTTTCATCTTCTGGTTGAGTTCATACCAAACCATTTGCCCTGTGGGGCAGGACTTCTTTATGCTGCACCTGTATTCCAATAGTTGGGTGTCTCTGTTTTGAGCCACATGGTCCCTAGATTTGCGTAGCTGTGTGAGCCAAGTGCTTTGCACGACTCAAGGAATGGTCATTGGCATCAGCTAGCCCCTGTCCCTGCTCAGGATGAATTTCCAGTTCAAAGGCATGTTGTGCAAGAGAAGAAAGCAGGGCTCTCTGCTGCTTCACAAGCTGGTTAAATGCCAGTAAGAATGACCAGGCTGGAAAATAGCTCTACAGGCTCCTGTTTTCTGCTCCTCCAGAAATTAAAGTGCTCATTTATTTCTAGATCTCCCTTTTCAGAGGTAGAAGGTCATTCTGACACCTTTTCTTTAAACTTCGTGTGTACTGCGTAGGAGATGCTGGTGCTTTGGGGGGTGGGAGGAGGCGACAGGGTGGCCAGTTTTCAAAACGGTGGAGGCACAGTGATAGTCGCCTTGGCTCTTCCAGCCCACCAGCAGCAGGCTTAGTCACATCAGCAGCATCAAAGCTGAGCAGCTCTTCGGAGAAAGGGCATTTGTCCTTTCATCTGGAGATTACAGGAATCTTTCACAGATCCCAGCTGTGTGTTTTGAAATACTCTTTAAAGAGAAATACCTGTTTGTGGCACCACCTGCCATTTAAAACAGCCTCTTTGCCTTCCTGCTTTCCCCTGCAATGCTCTCCCTCAGCCACTTAACCATGTGTACAAGGACAAAATTGTGCCAAAGTTCATTCCCCAGCAAGCAGAATTGCCCAGCTTTCATGCCAGGCTCTGTACCGAGAAAAAGACTCTCCACTAACATGCCAGAAAGCTTGTAACCTATTTGGGCCAGCTCCTTCCCCCTGTTGCGCTCAGCAGGGACAGCAGGGAGGCAGAAAGCTGCTCTTAGCATCTGGAGGAAAGGAACACAGAGATAAAAAGCTCTTTGCCTTGCTGTTTCCATTCCTTCATGACTTAATTTTTTTTGGTCGGGGCACAGAGAAGATTATAAAGCTGTAACCTCTAATCCGCTCCTGAGCGCTCCTTCTCCATCTCTTCCTTTCTCCTCTCTTTCAGCCAGTTCTAATCCTTTATGTCTCCTCTCTCACAGGTAGGAGTTGGAGTCTAATCTCAGACGACAGGTTGGTAATTAGAGCAAGAGATTATCCTGACCCTATATCAAGAAGGTAAAAAGACAGGAATAATGCAGGGCTATACAAGATCAAGCCTTCAATGTTCAGTGCAGGAACCATCCTCCTCTCGGTCTGTCTCCTCCTGGCTCCCTCACCCTACACCCTCTCTTTGTCGCGCAGAGGGGGGAATTCCTGGTTCTCTGTACTTCCTGCCCATCTCCCCTCTGCCGAGAAAGGACGATGCTTTTCCAGTACTCATTCAGTACAGAAATGGTCACATTTTGTATTTCTATAGACCTTGACTAAGCAGAGACTCAGCCAAGAGTCTGTGGCTGGGGAGAGTGGGCGGTGGGGAAAGCACGGGCAGATATGGAGGAAGAGGACCTGCTCAGAGAGGCGAGAGCCATGACACGCTATCAGCCATCCTCAGTTGGGCCCCGGTTACCCATACTGAGGGCTTTTCTAGTCCAGCATGACAAATCCACAGCAAGGAGCAGCAGCAGGTCCCCACCTCCACCTAGATGCCCAGCAGTCACTACCCAGTCCTTGATCTGCTCAGGAAGGAATACTGCTCCCATGCCTTGCACGTATCCCAGCACAGATGGTAAGCTCAACCATGTGTCCAGTCCGTGTTATCCATCTTCGGGACAGATCTTGTCTCTTGTCCTGCATCACCAGTATTCAGCGAGGACCAAAAAAGCCATCACACAGCCCCAAGACCACCATAGAAAAGGAGAAATTGGGACCATTGAGCTTCTTCAGTGTCCCACCCCCTACATGCACACAGTGAATGGATGTCACCAGGATGCACTGTAGCTGAGGCTCGGGCATCACCAGCCAACAGCCTGCAGGCACCAGGAGGTGTCCGGATAGAGATGGCAGTGGAGTGATCGAAACCTGCTGGGGACAGAGAGAAGGAAGGTCAGGTTACAGTTTTTACACCAGTGCACAGGTGGAGAATGGAAGACCTCTCCCTCATGTCCCAGCCCACATCAGGCACCCACCATGCACAACAGAGCTCCAGGACTGGTTGTTCACCTCGAGATGTCTTTTCTCAGCAAAGCTACGCAGCCAAGATTCCCTCTGACACCTGAATCCAGCTCTGGACCATGAAGCCCAAGCCCATGGCTCACCCTGATCACAGGCAGGGAGATGGGCACTGCACCAGCCCCCGCTACACGGTTCTGTTGATGCTCTTTTCATCACCTAGCTGCTTCCCACCCCTGCTATGTCCAGCCAGGAGCTTCCTACCCATGCTCTGCAAATAACAACTTTACGTTTGTTCACTCAAAACAGAGAAGGTAAATCAAAGAACACTTTTGTTTGCAGTCAGCCTGAAGTGCACCTTTTTCTTTTTTCCCTTCAGTTTTCTCAGCAAAACAAAAAATGAAAAAGCAAGCAGAATTTCCTTTCCTGTGTTTAAAAGAACATTTCTGTTCCTGTTCCAGAGGTAAAAGGTTAGCTTGTTTAGTCTCAAAATGTGAAATAAATGGCAATACTTTTGACTCAGGAATTGTCCAAATAAAATGTTTTGATACTCCTTTTTTTCTCACTCATCCAAAAGGTTTGCAAAGTTTGTAAGCGTTCACAAACAGCTTAATGCTGGTGTGCCCCTCACATAATAAGCCAGGTGACTGCAAGGTTTCTGTCCCTCGCTCTAGACCTCCTGCATCCCATTTGGCTGCCTCCCCCTCCCAGCCTATTGCCTGAGGGCTCCCACCACAGCAACACCCAGAGCACTCACGCCCGTACCTTGAGGGATCCTCTTGGTGTGAGAAGGGGCCGCTGAGTTCAATAACATTGAGCTTGTTCTCAAAGACACCGTAGCTGAGGGTGACCTGCAAAGAGGGGTGGTGAGAAAGGAGCAGGGAGGATGAGGTGAGTTCAGGAGCAAGGAACTTGCTTTGGGTGACAGAAGCTCCCATTCTGGTTCCTTCTCTGCTGGCTTGGCCTCTGCCTTCCATGTCTCTCCTGTCTTCTTTCCCATGATGGTCCACTGTGCTGGTCCTTCACCTCTCCAAGCCCCCTACACCCCTTGTTATCTCCCACACAAGGCAAACATGGTGTCATGTCAAAGACCCTTCCTCAATCAATCATCTGCTTGTCCTTGTGCCACGTTGCCCCTGGGATGCCCTCAATTCTCCCATCACTCCCCATACATGTGCTCCCCAGGACTGACCCCTGGGGCACTGTGACTGGCATGTCTGCTGCAGGCAACATCTGCTCCTTATTTCATAGAAGCATTTGTCAGGAAAGCCTCCCCAAAAGAGCAGAGAATTGATGATTCAATCCACGCCAGTCCCACCAAGACAGCAATGCACCTGTAAGCGCCCCTTCACTTCTCCTTCCTCACACACCTCCCTCTTGCTCCATTTCTCCTCCTCACCTGCTGTGTGAGCCGAGAGGGGGAGATGAGCTGCAGGTTCTCCAGGTGGGAATGGAAGAGCGCATTGGGCAGCAGCTGCCCGCCGACTTTGCACTCAATGATGTAACCCACGGTGCAGTCATCCGGCAGGCGGATGAGCTCTGAAGTGCTCAGGAAGTTCCTGCCACTGGAAGAGAGTAGGGCTGCGTGGGTTAGGAAAAGGGTAAGAGGGGGATATAGGCATACACTTAGATGGGAGATTAATGAAGGACTTAATTGAAAACCAGAGTAAATCTTGGAACTAGGCAAGAAATCCCCGAATTCCACATGCAAAGATTTGGGAATGTGTTTGCTCTCTGACTACTTCCAGCCATGCTGTCCCACTCCCACCAATTGTTGGGTGCTGTCCCTGATACGTATTCAGCTCCTAGGTGAGCTGATGTAGAGAGCAGGCAGACTTTGCTGAGTCCCTTTTCTACCTGTTTGGTGAGCCGCACTGAGTCCCTGAGGGGTCAAACAAGCCAGCACAAGAGAAACAGTGGGACTACATGGCCAGGACCAAAAGAGAGGAAACTGGACAGTCTCGTGCAGCTTGAATAAGCCATCCATGGCTCCACTGTAATGTAACACCACACGCTTGGCCATCCTTTGATGACAGCCTAAACCAAATTTTAAGGCTCCTTTAACTGGAAACAGCCACACAGCATGAAGCACTGTCTACTATAACACCTCTCAGGTAGGTCAAATGTGTTTTAAGCATTTTAACACAGTAGTGGCAGACTTTATGCCAGGTTAGGCATTATCTATCCATGCCACTTCATTTTACCCTAGATCACAGATCATCCTCCTGTCTGGGTCTACCATAAAATACGTATCACGGGCTTCAGCTAAACCAGCCGCCTGGTGTGGATCGGATCTGTCTTTCTGGGTATGTACAGATCTGGTTACGGCTGGCACAGCCATTGCCTATCAGTGCATGTGCATATAGGCTGTGATATAACCTAGGGCATCATGGAAATCATCATCTTGCTGTAGGCTGATCTAACACAAGACCCCGGGACCCACCTCTGTTCTCCATGCAACAAGCTGAGGAAATGACTGTAAGAAGCTGAAGAGGGTTTGGGGTTGGGAAATGGGAAATTGGCTCAGGAAGGAGGTACCAGAGGTTGGAAAGAGGCAGACTAAGGGGAGAGGAGATAGGCAGACAGGGAAAATACTTAGGAAAAGTGTCAGAGGAAGCTGAAAGGGACAGGAAGGAGTGTGGAGGGATAACCAAGAGCTAAAAGGAGTCGGGGAGATGGGAGTATGTCATCCTACAATCATATTTGCTGACCTGCCTGCTCTTGCCTCTTTTTAATCAGGTGGCAGACCCACCTACTACAGTCTTCCTCCAGTCCCACCTGCTTGCAGATGTGTAGCATGTGGCACTCTGCACACTCGCAAACGTCCTTGCAAACACCACATACACAAAGCCAGATCTGACGCTGCTAGGAATTAATGTGCGGCCATGTTCCTCGTCCCCAAAGGCTCCCATACTCACCAGCCGCACAGCTCACCTGGCCCACGGCACCATCTTGCTTGCCAGCTTGCGGCTGATGCAGAACCCAGCCCCTCCTGTGGCAAACCAGAAGTGCACAGATTTCTGGAGAGAAACGGCAGAGAAAATCAATGGCAGAGGCTCAGATGATACCATACTCCCTGAGATGGGAATGCTGGAAACCTGGCTTTGATGCCAGGATAAACACAGCCCTATTGTCACTCCAGACCCCTGACTGCTTCCCAGAAGAAGGACTTGCCAGAAGTACAGCATGGATTTTGACTTCTTCATATTTGGAGCAGCCGAGTTCATGTCCAAGGCAAGCTTATCTCCTGGCAGACAGGTACCCAAAGGCACAGCAGCAACGTGGGACTTTTCCACTAGGTAGATCGGATTGAGTCAACACCTACAACCATGTTCAGACAAGACTGGCAAGTTTCCAGCTGTTGCCTGTTGCTCTTGGGACCTGTCTCTCCTTGGGGTACATCTACCACCAATGAGCCAGAGCACTAAAAACCCATTGGCCCCCACACCACCGCAGCGGGCTGTACCGTCTGGTTGTTTGGCAGCGTTTCAGAGGCCCGGATGGGTCGGTTCAGGCTGGGTTTCCCCAGGTAAACGTCCCATGTTGCGGAGTAGGAGGACAAGAGCTTCAGGAGGGCCCGAAGGTTCAGGTAGTTGTCATCATCCAAATGGCAGAACCAGCTGGGGGAAGACAGGAATGAAGACACAAGAGGTTTGAATTAAGGGGGGTGCTTCTTGCTCTCACAGGTACCCCCGCGGCAGCCCTGCCTCACCTCCGGCCGCTGGCCAGGAAGGCATCGAACTCGGCGGCCATCTTGCAGGAGAGGGCCAGGTGGCTGTGCTCGGCAGAGCAGTTGGTGAAGATCGCGTGGTCGCCTGCCGGGAGAAAGGAAGCTGTGGCTCAGGGCCAGACCACTTCATACGGTCACGGTGAGGACCTCTGGGCACGAGGGAAGGGGTTTGTTCACAGCTAATCTCCTCGCATCCCCCAAACAGGCATCAGAGCCCGCGGTGACGTGGGCTCCATCCTTCCACATACCAGGAGATGAAATTTGGAGAAAGCCAAGCATCTTGACCAAAACTACGACACCTGCCAACTGCACTTCCACCTTGCCCACTGCCAGCCAGGGTGCGGGGGCTGAAGAGCTGTCTCATGGGCTGCTTCCACCCGTGGATGATTTAAGGCAGACAGCACCCTGCCTCTAGTTGGCTGCATGCTCTGGGGTAAGCCAGCTAAACCAGATCGTCACTGCTGCACCTTGGGGTCCTCCCACAGGACATGGTGAGGCGTGTGCTTCAAGGGGCAGTGCTGGTGTAGGAGAGCCAGCCTTCATGCCGGACCCCATCCCAAGGCTGTGGCAGTTCAGAGACTGAAGGTGGGGGGGAGGTGGCATTATAGGACAGGTCGTTACCCATTCTCCTCTTCAGGGCATCATCTTCATCGTCAGTGAAGATGTAGGTCTGGGGAAACAAGGAAAGGAGGTTATTCCCAGGGCTGGAGCTGGTGCTGCTCCTGGCCACCCACGTGGCCACCCACTCGGCCACCCACTCCTTCCTCCCCACAGCTGGACACACTTGCCATGGTCACCTCACTCCATCCTTTGCTGCCGTGCCCCTGTCCCAGGCAGCAGTTGAGGAGAGGGATGGCCGCTGTCCCCCTTCCTGCATGGCACAATCATCAGCGCTTGTGTGGCTTCATTTCCCTCCCGTCCCACCGCCTTAGGATCAGGGAGAAGGGGACCTGTGAGGGAGCCCTGGCTTAGGTGTCGGTGGTAGAAAAATGAAAGCACTGTGGTTGAATGATGGTCGGGTTAAAAGGAGAACATCTGTTTGTGTGTTAAGTGCGCACAGCCCCCTGCTGCTTCCCGCCTCCTCCTCCTCCTCTTCCTCCACCCCCAGGCCTCTCTAATCCCCCTCGCTGCCATTATGTGGCACATCTCCCCCTATTCAGGCCCAGGCGAGGATCAGGGCTGGTGGAGAAAAGCTTTCCTCAGGCAGAAAATGAGCTTTCATGAAATCAAAAGGAGTCGCGAGCCATAAACAGTCTCTCCACCAGCTGCCCACAGGCTGGTTAAATGCAGCACCTGGGCAGGGACAAAGGGGATGAGGCAGGCAGACAACTGCTCCAGGAGTCATCATTGCTCCCAAAGGCTCTGACGAGAAGATGAGAGTCTCTGCATCTCCCCACACCCACCCTGCATTTGGGAGATATGCCCCCATCAGGAGGACATGGCAAGAGAAATGTTCTGCACATGAAAAGAAGGCAATGAAGGACCCTCAGAGACCACCTGGCTTGAGCAGAGGCAGCAGGATGGTTTCATGATCTCAAATGTATGTGCTACAGCGACTTGGCAAATTACACTCCAGCAGCTGAGCTGCAGCAACAGGCCATGCACACATTCCTACCCTACCCCACTGGTAAAGCCTCTAAGTTAAAACCACTTTAAAGGTGATCACGGGACAAGAAGCAATTAGCTAGGTCTAAGGTAAAGGAGTCGCTCTGGGTCAGGGGACCGTATCACCACCTTCAGGCAAGGCAGGGATTGTCACTGGCATGGGATTTCCCTCGCTAGTGTGTCAGAGCCAGAAATTTCCACTATGACAAATAATTTCATCTTAAAAAAAAGTTCTGAAACCATTGAAACTTTCTGACATTTTCAAAAAAACCAGAAACGTTGTTGCTGGAAATGACTTGCTTACAGATATAAAATTTGCTAATAAACATCATATCTGACTGACTTAAAACAGGAATCTATCTTTTCCCAGATTTTCTGCTTGGTTCTTACTTTCCTCTTGATGCAAGGTGGGAAATGCTTTTTTGCAGATGCCAGACATGTTTCTATGGGAGCCCAGGGATGAAGGAGCATTGTCACCCCAGACTCTCCAAAAGAACTGGAAAAAGGGGCTAAGAGTGTGAGGGCTAGGCAAATCCCATTTCTCTGGCTCTCCCAAACTCTGATCTCCGTGGCACACCCGGCTGCAGTATTCCAGAGATGCTGGTGTGTGTGTCCTGGCTCTGTCCTGAAGGAGACACAGCATAGGCAGCTGCCTGCATCCTCATCCCTCATGCTTCTGAGAGCGGGAAATCTGGAACAGCAGCTGCTGCCGAAATCTGAGCGACTGCTGCCGTGTGTCCCTCAGCAAAGCTGCACATGATGGCTGAGATGGGAGAGAGGGAGCAAGGCCCCGGCTAAAAACCTGCCTGGAGAGCATTTGGCCCAGTTACACAGGTCTTTCTCAAGAAGACACCAGCTGCTGTTGTCCATGCTAATGGAGCCTAGAAGAGATTTAGAAGGTCACTCTGGCCACACCAGAGCTACTGTCCCCATTGGGGATGTGCAAGCAGAGGAACACCCAGTGTCACTTGTGTCCTTGCAGGCAAATGAGGTGGACAGAAGCAGCCTCCCCACGATATCCACCCTCCTGTTCTTCACCAGACCATCTCTATGGGGCCATGCAGGATGTCCTGTCGTGGTGCCTCAGCGCTCACGGGCTGCCCACTCTGGCAGGCAGCCTGTCAGCTTGTGGAGCAGCCATTCAGCCACAGCTTTCCACTCGCTTCCTGCACCACGCCACCCCCAGCATGGTTCCTCCTGCCAGGGATGGGGGGGAATCACAGAGCCCAGCTCCCATCTGCACTGAGAGCAGCCCAGGGTGGCTGTCACTGCTGCTGCAGGACAGCCGATCTGGGCTTGAGGTGGGATGCAGCATGGAAGGCATCCCTCTGTTCTAGAGCCAGGAAGATGGCTAGATAGGAACGGATGTCTGGTGGATGGCAGTGTCAGTAGTGATACAGAGTCACTGGTGTCCAACAGCTTTGCCTGGCAGTTGTCCATACCCATGCAATTGATAAACACTAGACTTTGAGGCCCCCTCACCCCAAACTGGGAAAGTAGCCTAGCAAGGCAAAACTAGGAGAAGAGAATAAAGATTTGGAATCTGACAAGCCATGATCACATCCATTTCCCAGGTTCCCAAGGTATCCCTCCTCCAGGAATAAATGGCCTCCAAAATTGGTGCAGCTGGGCAGGAAGCTGTTCCCCTGCCCGGAGAAGAGATTAAAAATCTATGGTGTGTTCACAACACTGAGATATGTAAAGCCAGTTTAGGATGGGTCATTTAAAGGTTTCATTTCAATCGGTTGGATGCTAGAATTATTTTACATTACCAAACAAAATTTCAGGCCAGAAACCTAGACTTATCTCCATCAAAACTAGTGGGGCCAAGAATGTAAGCCACTCTAAGATGCTGTCCAGCCTAAACAGTCATCAAAACCAACACTTTTGTTTAGATGAAGCCTTTTCTGGGGAAATTACTTCCACATCAAGCTCCAGTGGAAAGCTTGTTGTGGATCAGTTCTCAAGAGGCAAAACATGGTCCAACTTCCAATGAAGAGCAACCACCCCACACTTCCCCTTCCCTGTCTCCCACCAGCTGCATATCTTCTCTTCTGTTTAAACACTGCAGTTTCAGGAAAAACATCTCTCTCTCTTATTGTCTATCCCAACAGAGTCCAATATAGAGGACTTTTAATTTGGCTCCCGTACAGACTGTCCTAGCCATAAAACCCACAGCTGTTCCTGCCTCCTGTTACAGTCACCTAAGCCTGACCTGTGAGGTCTGGGTTGCTTCCTCCGGGAGGACACCATGCAGGTAATCAGCTCTGAAACCAGGCTTGGCATCAGCAGCATGGCCAGCTGCTAAATTTCCCTGCTGGCCACCTGCAGAGAAGGACTCACTGAATCAGTCTTCAGCCATAAGTAAGGGTGAGTGAGACAGCCAGACAGTGGGTCAGCCCTAGGAGGAGGCAGTCTCTGCACATCAGTGCTTCTGAGACCTGGATCTCTCCAAGACTGGCTCTTAAAGCCTATGCCCCTCCATAAAGACTCATTAATAGGAGGTCTGCTGCCCCATCCCTGGCCCCACAACAATTAAATGTCCTTTGCAAATCAAGAGCTTTTTTTTTTTCCTAAGTGAGGTTTATATATTGCCAATTTTTTAAAACTAACCCTTTCTCCTACCTACAAACCCCCCCTCCAGCAGCAGTATATTTAAAAAAAAAAAAAAAAGCTTTTGACTTTCATGTACTTCTCTTTACCTCCCGCCCCACCCCCGCTCCCCTACCCTGGAGGCCATTTAGTAAAAAAAAGCAGAAGAAAAACATGGAAAATTGAGCAGGCGGGGAGGAAAATACTGAGCTTGCAACAAAAATTGATAACAATGAAAAAACACTGTTTAAAAATGACTGATGCTCCTGCTCTACCCTTCCTTCCTATTCTCCTACTTAGTCTGTGAAGCTTTCCTAGAGGCTGGCAGCAGCATGGAAAATTCAACACCTCTTCCCAGGTTTGGACATCGTTTGCCTGCCAGAGAGACTGATGAATCTGGGGAGGTGTTATCTAATTCCTGTCATCAGCAGAACGGCCAGGCACCTGTTTGTTAAATGCACAAGGAGGGAAAGATGATCTGCTCCTTAAAAACCCACTCCAAAAGCCCCAGTCACAATATCTTAATGCCAGTGCAGCCGTGTCATTGGGTTTGGTTTCTCCAAAGAGCTGCTGGGCTGAGGTCGGGCAGAGAGAAGTGCGTCTGGAGGAGGAAGTAAGGCATCTCAGATGCTTAGCGGGACATGCAGACAGGAGAGGAAGTGTGCTCAAAATAGGACATGGCTTCCTGTGACGACCACAGCAGACCAGACAGTTGCAGCACCATCAAGTGGAAAACCACCCTTACCCAGAAAACCCTGCATTGCTTCAAGCATTCTCCTACCCAATACCTCCGCCCCCATCCCCCTCCCTTGCCAAGGCTTGAATTTGTCTTCTAGGCCCATCACACATGGGCAGAGGCAAAAAAAGCTCAACAACCTTTAGGGGCAGCCACAGGATTTCTTCTTTCTTGAGGAGCAGCTCTGCGAGGGAGGGAGAAAAGTGCCCGGGCTCTGGGGAGTACTTCTGCCCACCAGTAAGCCAGTCTGCACAGCACCACCAACGTGGTGCCCCACACCAGTTCCTCTAACAGGAAGGAAACTCTCCAAACTCTGCTTTAGCAAAGAGTGAAAAAAATCAGACCCCCAGTTAAAAAAAAATAAAAAAAATTTAAAAAGTCAAATATAGACACACATCACTTCAAGATCATGCACGTGAGGGGATCTACCCAAGAAAGCAAGGCATGGATTGTGCTGATGTGCTGCGGAGTGAACAGGGCTGCAAACACCCCTGCTGCACCCGCGTCCTGCAGCCTTGCCCTCCTGCCTGCTGCACCACACCATCCCGGGGCAAAGGGTGCCCAGGCGCAATGCAGGCATCCTGATGGAGGGGCAGGGGGAGCCACTCAGCTCAAAACCTAGCAAACTCATGGCACTAGGAGGTAGAAAACCACCTTTTCAAACAGACAGACCCAGGACAGTCTGTGCTCTCAGTCTGGTGTGGGCCAGGCAGTCTGCAGCCCCTGGTGTTACTGGATAAAAAAGGGAAATTCAATCTCCTCCACCTCAGGCCGAAAGAGTCAGGCTTAGGTTAGGGACAGGTGATGCCTGATAAGAGCACTTGTTCTCCCAGCCTTCATGGGAAGGGCCCACACAAGCTCTCCATCCTCTCTGCCAGCTTTTCCCATGAACCAGCTACCAGTGAAACATTTTGCTGGGTAGCATCCCCCTTTCAACATGAACAGAAGTGAGAATTAGGGAAAATGAGGCAAAGTACTGGATGGGACTGTAGTGCCCAGCCTTCCCTTCCTTTGGCATTTATCCCCCCGACTGACACCCTGTGCCTGCCCCGTTAACCAAACGCCCCTTCTCTAGCTCAAATCCACACACTCACCTGCTCTCTTGCTCGGGATATCCACGTGTCCAGAAGCAGCTCCATCCTGCTCTGGTGAAATCTCTTGGTTGTCTTCACAGCTATGAAGATGTCCCCAAGGGTCAGGCTTCCCTCAGTCCTGTATCCCTCCGGAGGATGGACTTGCAGGTCCTTCTGGTTCCTGCCATTGCCTACCGTGGCATCCTCTGGGCTCACTTTGCTCCGTCGCCCTAGCTTCTCCGACATCCCCTCCCTGAGCCCTGGGTACTGAGCTGTTTCTGGAGCCCCACGGTGCCGCACGGAGAGGAGAGCCACGCTGACAAGGAAGACTGCGGCTCCAGAGAGACCACGGATGAGCCGACGACCCATGGCTCCCAAATCGTTCCTGCTGCAGCCGGTATCGTATCAAACAAGGACAACCTCTGCCCGTACCTCCATGTGAAGCTGTCCACTCCTCTCAAAGCCTCTGAAGGGGCAGGACAAGGCAAGGGTGAGGTCTGAATAGGATGTGGCCAAGGAATAGGGTGGGTGAAGACCAGAAAGCCAAAGAGACAGCAGCCCCGGAGGATACTGGTGAAGCGGGGGGAATTTTCAGACTAAGAGGGCTTACGACCCAGCGCGGCAGGGACACGTGATGGGAAAATACTCCGAGGCGACTGGTAGGTGGCTGGTACAGCCCGCCAGGAGGAAAGTGAGCATCCCCACTCCCGGTGGAGAGGCTGAGGGTCGCAGGCTGGGATTCGAGGGGGCAGCAAAGGAGATCAGAGCCATCAGTGGGGAGTCTGGACAGAAAGCGTCAGTTCCTCAGAAGACACCGGCCTGCACATCCAAGCCAGGGGCTGCGGGGCAAAGGCGAGTGGCTGGCGCTGGGCTCAGGGAAGGGGCCGGGTGCCATGCCCGCAGCACGTCTGCCTCTCCACCTGCTCCCTGCGTGCAGATCGCTCTTGCTCCCTGCCAGCCCCG